CCAAGGCCTACTGGCATTCCGGAGTTCATGCAAAGTTGCTTTTCTTCTTAAGCTATGAGAAAAATCGGTGGCTCCTATCTGAGGATCTCGAAATGAATCGTCCCAAGGCGGCTATCCTCTCTGTTAACCTTTGCACGGACTTCACTACTACCGTGATGTCCTCAATTTCTTTGATTTTATCGGGGTTGATCTCGATTCCTCAGTTGGACACCATGAAACCAAGAAACTTGCCCGAGCCAACCCTGAATGCACATTTTTCGGGGTTGAACTTCATATTGTACTTCTTTAGTATGTTGAAAGTTTCCTGCAAATGCTTTAAATGGTCCTCTGCTCGCAGGGACTTAACTAACATGTCATCAATATAAACTTCCATTAATTTTCCTATTTGTTTTTCGAACATTCGATATACTAGGCGTTGATAAGTTGCACCAGCATTTTTTAGACCAAATGGCATTACGTTATAACAGTAGGTACCGTACTTAGTGATAAACGAGGTATTTTCCTGATCCTCCGAGTTCATTTGTATCTGGTTGTACCCAGAGTAGGCATCGAGAAAACTGAGAGTCTCGTGGCCAGCCGTGGCATCGATCATAAGATCGATGCTAGGCAAAGGAAAGGAATCCTTAGGGCATGCTTTGTTCAAGTTTTTATAATCTATACACATTCTAAGTTTGTTTCCTTTCTTAGGGACTACCACCACATTTGCTAGCCGTTCAGGGTATTTTACTTCTCGAATGGATCCTATTTTAAGAAGTTTGGTTATCTCGTCCTTGATGAAGGCATGTTTGACCTCAGACTGGGGCCTTCTTCTTTGCTTTACCGGATGGAATTTTGGATCCAAGCTCAGTCTATGAGTGGTTATTTCCGGTGGGATCCCTGTTATGTCAAGATGGGACCAAGCGAAGTAGTTCATGTTAACTATAAGAAATTGAATAAGCTTTTTTCTGAGCTCGGGATCTAACCCCGTGCCCAGGTATACCTTTCGCTTAGGCAGATGTTCGATTAGCATGATTTACTCCAGTTCTTCGACCGTTGATTGGGTAGCGTAGGAATCATCGGGGACCACAAAGGATCGAGGGACCCCATAGCCATCGTCTTCGTCAGCCTTCTGGTTCTCTAGTCGGGTCGAGGCTGACGTTTTTGATTGATATTTGGTGTCATGTTCCTCCTTCGAATCTGATACCTTCATCAATGATAGTGAGGATATCAGAATCACTTCATCAACGACAAACATTTCTTTTGCGGCTAGTTGCTCCCCATATACCATTTTGATTCCCTCTGATGTTGGGAATTTTAGAACCTGGTGAAGGGTCGAGGGCACTGCTCTCATGTTATAGATCCATGGCCTCCCGAACATGGCGTTATATCTCATATCGCCCTCGATTACGTGGAACTTCGTTTCTTGGATGATCCCGTCCACGTTTACTAGCAAGATTATCTCGCCCTTAGTAGTTTCACATGCCATATTAAATCCGTTCAGTACCAGGGTAGCAGGTATGACCTGGTCCTGTAGACCGAGTTGCTCTACGACCCTTGATCGAATGATATTGGCCGAACTACCTGGATCAATTAACACACGCTTAACTTGAGTTTTATTCATAAGTACTGATATTACCAGTGCATCGTTATGGGGTTGCATGATTCCTTCCGCGTCTTCGTCACTAAAGGACAAGGCTCCTTTAGGTGTGTAATCCTGAGTCCGAGATCGCTTTTCTCTTACAATAGACATCTTAGTGCGTTTAAGCACCAGTCCCTAGGGGACATCGATCTCTCTGATGATCATGTGGATGATGTGTTGTGGTTCTTCTTGTTCGTTTTGCCTATTGAAATCTCTGTTTTGAAATAGTTTCTTTAAAAATTCTCAAAAGCGCCCTTAATTGAATAAACGGGCTACCTCCTCTCTCAACTGCCTGCAGTCTTCAGTTCTGTGGCCATGGGTGCCATTATATTTGCACATTTGATTGGGATTTCTGTGGGCCGGATCAGACTGCAGAGGTCGAGGCCACTTAGTATCTTTGATGCGTCCGATAGCCGACACGATGGCGGATGCATCGATGTTAAAGTTATATTCTGATATCGTGGTGCTTCCTTAGATCTGATATGCCTGTCGAACCCATTCTTGTTTATCAGCCCTCGAGACCCTTGGCCTCGATCACTTCTCATTTCGCCTCGCACGGAGTTGCATGTAGGTTCGCTACCCCTACAATCTCCGTTATACAGCCAATGTCGGTCCTTGTTCGACCTTGGTTCTCGGTCGATATCCCTTTTAATAACGGACCCGAAACCCAACTGGTTGTCTTCAACTCTGATCTTCGATTGATATCGATTGTGTACATCGGCTCAGGTAACAACCGGGTACTCGACCAAATTCTGCTTCAACTGTCGTGAAGCCATCGAGCTTCATTCATTCAGTCCTTGAGTGAAAGCTTGTACAGCCCAATCGTCTGTGACCGGTGGTAGATCCATTCGTTCCATTTGGAAACGAGATACGAACTCTCTTAGCATCTCGTTATCTTTTTGCTTTACCTTGAAAAGGTCTGACTTCCTGGTCTCGACCTTTATGGCTCCGGCGTGTGCTTTTACGAAAGAATCTGCAAACATAGCAAAGAATCGATAGAGTTAGGCGGTAAATTATGATACCATATCATTGCCCCCTTTGACAGGGTTTCCCCGAACTTCTTCAATAGTACGGATTCAATCTCGTCGTCTTCTAGATCGTTTCCTTTAATGGCACATGTGTAAGAGGTGACATGTTCGTTAGGGTCGGTTGTTCTATTATATTTAGGAATTCCGGGCATGCAAAACCTCTTGGGGATCGGTTTAGGAGTCGCGCTCGGGGAGAAAGGTTTTTGTACAAATTTTTTGGAATCCAAGCCCTTCAATACCGGTGGTGCCCCCGGGATCTGATCAACCCTGGAGTTATAAGTTTCTACTTTTTTGTCGTTTGCTTCAATCCTCTTTTCTCCTGACTCAATTCGTTTTGTCAGTTCCTCTAACATCTTAATAATTTCAGGATTAGTCCCCAATTCTTGTTTATTTGATCTTACTACATCTGGCCCCGTTTCGTGGGTGATTTCTCGGGGTGGACCGGGCTCGGCCCTACTCGATGCCTGGGTTTGGCTCTGCAACTGAGCTATTGCTACATGTTGAGCTTGCAACATTTCGAAAATCATACGCAGGTTGATCCCGTCTTCCCCAATATTTTGGGTATTTCGAACTGCAAGTCGAGTTCCACCATGGATGCTGTTTTCGGGGTCGGAACGTTGGTTCGCCTCAATGGCCACATGTGAATTAACGTCGATTGGATCTGCGGCCCGAGTTCCAACGGGATCGACGAGTGTCCTTTCATCCCCGCTCATCAGGTTGTTGTTCTCATCTTGAAGGCCAGCTTCGTTGTCAATAGGTAGGGCCATTGATTGAGAGTTCGTCGTTTTTTACCTGAAATCAAAGACACTTCCAAGAGAAGTGTAAAATGGTATGTTTTGTAGAGATTCGTACCAAATAACCACTATTATCCTTAGCCCCACGGTGGGCGCCAAACTGTTTACCCGAAAAACGGATATAGTTGAATTTATACGTAGTTCTAAGGATACGTGGTATAACTTGAGTAGAGAATGATTTATAAACGAGCAAGATGAATCAATGTCCAAAGCCCAAAAAAGGATAATCTCTACTATATATCTGTGTAAATATCAATAATCTTTGAAATGTGAGAGTGTATTGATGTCTGAATCTTCAATGTTCAATCTCCCTTACAGAAATGATAGCCACTCTTCATATAGCGGAGGAATCCTACTTTGGATATAATTAAAAATACATAGTGGGGATCCCATGATAGATTAGTTAATTAGCTTTTCCTTAATTCTCGTCGGGATTCTCTCCCCTAGTGCGGCTACAACGGCTCTTTGTCCCTTAGCTCGATCTTGGTCGGTCTTGGTATTGGTCGATCTCTGGATCTCGAGCTCGGTATTGATCGGTCTCGGGTTTTTGAGCTCGATAACACCACTTCACATCATAGCTCGATATTGACTCGAGCTCGACATTGCCTCAAGCTCGGCATTGATCGGTCTGGATCTCGAGCTCGATAACCCAGCTTCACATCATATCTCGATATTATAATGACGACCCTCGGTCCATTATGTTCCAATCTTGACTAATTATACGAATGGCAAACTCGGTTTTGACCGTATACAGGTACAGTAGGCGAGTCACATAATCTATTTTGTGCCGAGATGTGAGGTGCATGTATAACAATCACCCTTAAGTGTTGTTTGCCCTTGAGACTAGAAATTGAAGTAATAATTATCCTATAGATAAAATATTTGAATTTAAAACACATTGTAGAAAAAGAATTTGAGCTTAAAATTCTAAATATACTGAACTATTTACTTGTACTCATTAATATTCAAGTCATCGTTCATATAAGTCATAATGTTAGGAAGGTTTTTTTTTTTTTTTTTTCATTCTCTCCTTCCTTTTTTAAGGTAGAAATGAACCCGTGAATAGTTGGAAAAAGGGAAGCTGGAAGCAGAAGCTCCGTACCTAAGTGATAAATGGTGAAATTGCAAGATTATAACTCTAATCACCCCATTTCGTACATTAATTACTTTAGCAGGAAAGTTCATTGCTATAAAAGATTTAGCAAACAATCTTTTTGAACAAAGCATGATTTTGGAATAAGTTTTCATTAATCAAAGTCTGTGATTTAATAAAACAACACAAGCTTTAGTCTTCATCCTACAAACCCAAAGTGCATTAAGTTGCTGCAATAGCAAATAAAAAAATAAGCTGCTTAATAACCAATTAATAATGACAAAGTGTTACCAAAATAAGCCTAAAGTTTTTTCCAAAACTAGAGTGATTGTGTGACACACAATCAACCAGAATGCTAATCCCATTGGCTGTCAATCTCAAGTCTTCAAGGGAAGCAAAAGATAATAGGGAAGCTTAAATCCACCTTATATAATGCAAGTTTTAGCAAGTTGTTCAAATCAATCAGATGTTTTTCAGCACATAGAATGATCTTATTCTGTTCACACAAAATTCTTACAATACTTCAATTCCAGGGTACAACTTATATAAAAGAAGAAATTGACGCTCTACAATAAACTTTAAAGTAATCAGCAGAGAACACAACGTTATGAAAGATCCTCAATAGATTAAAATCTTGAGAAGACCCTCATAATGAAATGGTCTGAGGAAATCAAGTGGCCTAAGAAACATACATGGTTTGGTTGACATTCTTGTGAACGAATCGCTCAGTAACCTCTGTTTTGGATGGTCATCCAGTTTAATCAAGCATCTTTAATTCACCTACTTATGGCTGAAAAGATCTCAAGAATTTGGGTACACAACAAATGTGCTGAAAGCTTGATGACCAGTGCTGATCAAATCCTAGAAATCATTGCCGGAAGAAGCGCTGCCTGATCTAAGAGCTTCAGCATGCCCGTTGCTAGTTTTGCTGATAATCCCCTTGCCAAAATAATCAGCAATTACGGAAAATCCATCCTTAGAGCTCTTAACCAGTTGGAAGAACTGATCTGGGTTTTTGGAACTTTGCTCCAAGCTTCTCTTTGTTTCCAGAACAGCTCTGTACTCGGGAGCACACTCGGGGCATTCTTTCTCATTGTCGCCAAGGCAGCGCTGATGAAATGAGTGCATACACATGAAGTGTACAGCAGGAAGGTCGAGTGTGAACGTGCAAGTAGTACACTTGCTAAGCTGAAAAATTCTAGCATTTGTTCTTAGATCCTGGATCTCTTTTCTCATTGTTGATGATTCTTCCTGCAAAATGAGGGAAATAATCAGAATATTATATTTCTCAATTTGTGTTTAAAGATCCGTAAGAACTCAGATGAACATAAAAATAGAAATCGAGATAACTGAATATTTTTTTCTCGAAAAGACCATAGAAAAAAAAGGGAGTATTTTTCAAGTAGACTACCCGTCTTACAGGTGCATAGCTAGCGAGCTCGGAGAATTGCGGGTTTCGGTAGTGGTTCTAGGTGCTTGAAGCCGAGAGAAGGCAATAGAAGTCAAGCATCTAATTCAGCGGTGAAAAAGAATGCTTTCCATGTGGAACAGCCAATAGAAGGCAATAGGTATTAGGTAGACATGATGCCAGTAGTATAGGATTAAAGACAGCTATTCCAGCTACTTCTATCCTCCCTCTTCCAAAGAGAAAAAACAAAACATGGAAAAAAAAGAGTATGCAAGACTTATTGCTGAAAGGATAACTTGAACTTTGGTATAGTGACTTTCCATTATCTATTGAAATATCAATTGAGTAAGGCAAAATCATTTAAACAACAAATACTACTACGACACCTTACTTCCACACAAGTTGGAGTCGGCCATACGAATCCTTACTGACCTTTGTTCCCCATTTAAATTTATCTCGGGCCAACATTATACAAAATAAAAAGGAAAAAGAAAAATACTAGAAGTTCTCTATATTTTCTACTGGCATAAGCATTTGTAATAGCACTATACAAGTAAATTTGTGCATGAAACCAGCTTCTTCCTGACATTAAAGAAGACGAATAACAACTCTATGATAAAAACATTGGTACATTAGTTCAGAAGACCGACAATCGATGATCCCAATAGGTATGAAAAATATTCTAGCAGTTTTACTTTCTCGTTAGAGGCCACAAGGAGTAAAAATCCCAGTTCAGATAAACGTTCTAACACCAGGGAACTGTGATGGGAATACTGTTAGGTTGCTCATGAGGGTTAAGAAGGAAGTTGCATGAAGTGGACATGAGTGGGTGCACAGAAAGTAGTACACAGCAGTAGGAGTTCAAATAGTAACAATCGCCCACCGATACACTGATCCATTTTTATGTTACCTTCTCAAAGAAAAGTAACAAAATTTACACACCCTGATTGAGAGCCATGGTGTAAGTAGATCAAGGAGAGTGGCAATTTGAACCCATAAATCAAGAAAACCCAAGCTCCGCATATTTTTAGAAGGTATGATGAATAACAATTATATGTATTTCTGATTATATTAATAAATCTTAAAACACAAATACAATATGTGGTGGCACTAGAATTTAGAATCTCAAAATCTCACACTTGATATTCTGGAAAACTACTAAAGTTTTGGCATGAACACTACCACTTGATACTCACGGTTTTTGAGGTACAGGGAGGAAGGCCATATCAAAGCATCACTTTCAAAGCAAGGTAATTTGGATAAAATGGGAGGAATTTATATAAGTAAATTTATGCGTGAAACCGGCTTCTTCCCGACATTGAGGAAGACAAATAACAACTCTATGATAACAATAACAGTACACTAGTTCAGAAGGCAGACCATCGACGATCCCAATAGGGAAGAAAAACCGTCCTAGCAGTTTTACTTTCTAGTTAGAGGTCACGAGGAGTAAAGATCCCCAGTTCAAATAAACGTTCTAACACTAGGAAACTATGCTGGGAGTAATGTTAGGTTGCTCAGGAGGGCTAAGAAAAAGGTTGCATGAAGTGGACATGAGCGGGTGACAGAATGAAGTACACAGTAGTAGGAATTCAAATAGTAGCAGACTAGCGGACATATATTCTTGATTTAAACTTAATGGCCTCCCAGATATCGATCTAAGACTCAAACATCCATGAATACACCTCCAATAACAAAAGAAAACACACTCAATCAATTCGAGATGGTGAAAAAATAACAATCACAGGTCCTCTCATCTATCCAGCAATATGGACGGCCTAAGGTCAAAATCTCTGAAACAAAGCCTCACAAAGTAAGACGAGTATACTGTGAATCTTTTGTTGGGGCAATCAGTAAGAGTATTCAAAGGACTGAAAGGAATTCTAACCCAACAAACACAAAGAGAAGAGAATACGAAAGAAAACATTCTCCAAATTGCTTAGGCCACAAATCAGTATGTCAAATGAGATGAGATGGGATCTCAGCGAATTGGGAGTCCCTTTGATAAGTACTAAACTCATTTACTGATGCAACAGAAAAAGATTCTGAACTATGTTGGGATAATATGGAGCACTCATTATCTTCACCAACATATGGAAGATATCAACAGCAGACTATATTGAAACGTGTACTACATGAAAAGGCTCAGATAAGTTAAGTAGATGGTACAACTCCATAATTCACCACACATCAAGAAAGAACAGTGCACTGAAGCTAAGTGACCCTTAGTTATGCCATTGTAGTATAATAACCTTTTAACTCTAATAAGGAAATGACTGAAAGGAGGCAAGTTAGTTTACACATTCCAAGTAACCCAATATGTACACATCCAGAAATATAAAAGGGAATTGGAACAGACAAGTACCAACCTGATACTTCTCTATAGATCTGCGGTCTTCGTCAATCAGCTGAGACTCCCGTTCTAACTTTCGAGCTATGTAATCTTTGATAACAGAGAGAGTGAGGCACGGATTTTTGGCAAGTGTCTGAAGAACAACAATGGGAGGCAAGATATCATCCCTCTCAATGTAAGTCAATACTTCTTTGACTTCTTTTGAGCAGTCTTCTCCAAGTTCACCAAAATACTTCAACAAATCTGCCCAAAGAGAAGAATCACCCCCCTTACCCAAATCACCCAATCTCTTGCAGCATGCTATCAAACCTTCATGATCATGTACCTGCATGTAGCATGCAATAACTTCTTTGTAAAGTTTCATCTTCTCATAAAGAAACAGCAGTCCTTCTTTAAAGGCATTCATCTCGCATAAAATTATGGCAAGATCAACATCGTATAGTGGTTGTTCTACTTCAGAAGGCCATGCACTCTTAAGCAAGGCCAGCCCCTTCTGACGTCGCTCTTGACGACCTTTCTCATCATTTAAGTCGTTCTTGTCTGGTATCGCCCTCCCATCGGATACTGCTTTTAATGGTTTGTGTGCTAAATCATTTCCACTTTCATCAATGTTAGATTGTGAAATTGACGGGAAATCCAGATCATGAGAGAAGTATAATTCCAGGAGCGTGTTATGAATTTCCACTTGAGCAGATGAATCCTTCACTTTGCTGGTATATTTTTCAAGGAACTCCAGAAGTGCCTGTGGGTAATGGACAAAAATGTTGAGAAAATCAATAGGAGAAGGCAACATGGAGATAAATGCACTACTTGATGCTCCCTTCTTGGGCAGTTCCGATTCCTCTGTGCAAAGCCTCATAAGTATTTCAACTGTTTCAGCTGGCTTATGCTCAATAAGAATTTTGCCATACTCTTTCACTGTCACCCCAGCTTGACTCAACTCAAGGCTGCTGATATATTTTAAAGCTTCTTCATATCTACCTAGATCTTCAAGCAAAATTTTAAGGTACCATTCATGCCTCCCAGCTTTCTTAGCAACAGACATGGCATGCTCATGATAATTGGCAGCTCTGCATACCCTTATTGCAGTTTCAACGTCAAACTTTTGTTCCCCAACCCCATCCTCACTTTTGATGAACTCATTAAGCTTCTCAACATCTTTCAATTTGGTGTAACAATTTAATAAAAGAGTGGTATGATCTTTTGAGGCAAGCCCCTTCTCATGCAATTTTTCCAAGTAATTGGTGAGATTGTGGATTCTTTGGGCATCCAAAAATTTTTGTATGACATACGAAGGTTCTAGATGCCCAATGGTGTGTATATACTGAGCCATAGCCTCATCAAAGTCTTGTTTACTGTACAAGTGATCGCCATATTTCCTAAGCACTTCAGCAGTTGCAGCGGCATCAGCTTGCTGGCTTTGGACTAGATTTATAGCAACTGTATAAAGGTTTTTCTTGAAAAGCATATCCAATTTGCTCTCCATATCTTTCTCCCCAATACATAAAGTTGATTTGTCCTCCAAAATAAGTATTATGTTACCCCATTCACAAAGCATCTGAGAAACTTCTTTAACCACCATACTGTGGGCAATTAACCGGTTCTTCAGATCATAAATATTGAAAGTATTGTTTCCAGTTCTTTGATCTGCAAAAACACACAGAAGGTATCCGCGAAACCACCCAAGGAATTTCTTCTCTCCTTCAAAGGCCCAACAAGGACCACGGCCATCCACTTCATAGAAATATACCGCCTCAGGCCGACCAATAATGAATTCCTATAAGAGGATAATATCAATGACACTATGCAATGAAATTATCAGCAAAAATGGAAAGAAGATAAGACAGAACACTTCAATTAGCACGCACCGATCGATCAGTCATTGCAACACTAGTTACACTGGATCCAATCTGATCAAGAGTCTGCCGGGTAGGTGATTGAGTATGCATGTTGAACAGGTTTACCGAATTTGGAGTAACAGCAAACAGCTGAAGCATCTGACCATCCACTCTGAAACCAAGACCTGTAATGGAGGATTGACTTTTGTCTGAATGATTATCCACCTGAAGCTTAAAGCGCTTGATGCGTTCACGGGCGATGTCTCCTTGAATGCAATAGATGGAACCATTGTCCAGCCCTATAGCTATGAGTAATAATGGTGGAGCCTCCTCCAGAACTAAAAATGACGTAATCTGCAGTTATAATTTTTCTTCTTCCATTATTTAATCCAATGATATGCAATAAAAGAAAAGGCAAACAACTAGATAAGAAAGAAAAAGCTTTCTAAATACTAATATGCACCTTTGCTTCAGGGAACTGGTTGGTAAATATACGCAGTATTTGAATACAATCTGGACTTGATGTACTTGTTCCCTCGGGCTCCATCTTGTCAAGATCAAAAATTTTAAGACAAACAGCTGAGGACTGGGGAGATATTTGCTCATCTTCTCCAACGGTCACTAAGAAGTTCCTTTGCTAATTAACAGAGAAACGAGGAAAGACAAAGTTAGTGGAATCAGAAGCATTATCCACTTTAAAATAAGCATACTCTAAGGATCTAGAACTTTCTGGGTTTTCATCCAAATTCTGTTAATTCTCACAATCTAAACACGAGATATCAGATAACAAATGAAGTAATAAATTGGCAAAAAGCAAAAAGATTACTCTTCTCTGGAGGCACGTGAGCAGGTGTACTTCCAGAAAAAAAGAATAGAGTTGTCAATAAAAAGATACCAGAGAAACAATACTATCAATGCAACCACCCATCCAACTCGATTAAATAGTTAAATTGAAAGAAAATTGCTGCAATAGACTTTCTAGTGAGGTAGAAGTAAATTTCAACTTCACGTCTTTTGAAGCTCTGTATCTTACTTGATACCTTCAGGTCCCAAACATATGGAAACCTCCACAAAAACCAAAACTCCAGTTAATTAATAACAAACCACTCATCAAAAAAAAACTTTTTATCAGCATTTCACCCAACACAAGTTTAGAGTTGAATTCCACAATGCAAAAACACAGTTAATCAACTTTCTACATAGAGTTTCCAGGGTTGTGAGAACTTGTCAACAAGCAGAATCAAGCAATCAATCCATCTATCAACATCGCCTGAATACCGACTAGTAGCGATTCATTATATGGGTCTTCTACATCCATTTCTCTCGACTCAGACCCATTTCATTCCAACAATAAAAAAAACTTGTCTTCTAAGACAAATTAAACTAGAGGTTCTCTACTTTCACACTTATTCACTTACTAACATACAAGGTCTCTACCCAAACTGAAAATTCTGCTAATAAACACCAAACTCGATATAAGTGTAACAAACAACTAAACCCTCCTAACCAAATTAGTATCGGTGATATGGATCCTCAACTTCCATTGCATTCTGTTCTTAACTAAGTCTGTGTTGTACTCCCTCCATTCCATTTTGTTTGGCACTTTTCCTTATTAGTCCGTTAAAAAAAGAATGACACATTTTTATATTTCCTTAACGAGAAACTCCATAGCTACTTGAATGTTATGATATACAAGTTTTAAAAGTCTTCATTTCTTTATTAAACTCCGTGTCAAACTATGCCAAACAAATTGCTAAATTTTAAAATTCTTCATTTTTTTCAACTTCATGTCAAGTAAAACTATGCCAAACAAATTAAAATAGAGTGAGTAATAATTAAGGAGAAACTTGAAAAACTAAAACAAATAAGAAAAACTTAAACCTTGAGCTGTTGAAGGAAGAGGACAGAGGAAGAATGAGCTTGGAAACCATAATTGAACTTCAATCCTCGATCCAATAAGGAAGCGGAGCCGTCATCACAGCCCAATACAATCCTTCCTTTACCGCTGGAACAACATTGGATCTTTCCCGTTATATCATCTGCTACTTTCCCACTAAACTTCTCCTCAAAGAATTCAAACTTCCTCCACTGATACATCCTTTTGTTGTTGATCAGCCCTTAGCAGTAGCTCAACTGCACCCACTATTTTCGGCTCGAACTGAAAACTTCAGAAATAATGTACATATGTGTAATTCTGAACCCACTGACTAGTATAAATTCAGGATTTCTATATAGCTAAGAATTCAATCTTTTCTTTTTGCAACAATGCTATAGCATCAAGAATTGAATTTCGACCCTTTTGGTTATTTGATGAAATTTTGACCAGATTGATTGGTTTCTGGGCGTGAGATTGATCTAGTAATATGAAAAGGTCGATGAGAGAATGGAAAGCTTGGAGAATGATACCGAATTGGACTTGTCGGGTCACTGCTGTACCCGTTTCTTCTGCCTGTTTTCTAGCTTTTGTTTTGTGCAATTTTTTATTATTTTTTATTTTTTGGGAAAAGTGAATTTTTTGTGTGTAGAAAATTAGGGTTTATTTTAGAATTTAGATTTTTGGCAATGGCAAAATAGATATCGTGTAGGACGCAGGGGCAGGGGCAGAATGTCTATTGAAGGAGGAATTTGATATTTAAGTAAAGCTGAAGTAAATATTTTCACCCAGTTTTTTTATTAGACTATTGGCAATCTGTTAAATAGACTATATGTGCTCAATTTTAACAAACTTAGAAATAAGGGTGGTATGTGGGCCGTGTCCGGTCCTAAGTGGGCCGGTCCTAAGTGGTCACGGATTTCGCGGGTTTCTTGTTGGAACCGGTCTGGGACCGGGACCACGAACTAACGGTCCCGGATTAAGTGGCCCAAGTGAGTTAAGTGGGCCCAACGGATACTTTCTATTTTTTTAAAAAAAATTATAGAAGTTAGAGAAAAAAATGGTAATAAAAATATCTAAGGTAATTCCTTGTAAATTATATTATAGAATTGTTACCTAAATTTTTTAATTCAAATTTAAAGATAAAAATATTATAAAGAGATATTCAAAGAAATGCGTTATAATTTTATTATAGCATTAAAAAAAATATGGCAATATCTTTCTTAATCTTCCTCCCCCTATGGAATGAGAACAACAAGGTGCTAATACCACCATTGAGAAGAAAAAGAAACTAATCAAGATGTGCCAAAATACAAGTTACATATTAATTTTTATTCATATAAGTTACATGGTATCTCTTACAAATTTCATAAATCCTTCAAGTTTCCGTTGGTGGTGGCGGAAAAGAAGCTTGGTCATCACCGCTTCCGGGCGAAGCAGCATCCTCCGCAAGTTCAGCTAGCATTTCTTCGTAAGCTTCGTCTACCTCTGGTTGTGATTCAGCAAGTCCAAAATTTCTTCTTTCCGAACGGATCCAATCTCTGAAAAGTACTGATTTTTTCAAGCTCCCCCTCATAGACGCTCTATAATCACCGAGTTGAAATTTTGCTTGACTGAAAGCGCTCTCCGGTGCCACTGTTGAAGCTTGAATAGTTAAAATGTCTCGGGCCATCCTTGAAAGAATCGGAAAGTATTTTTCTTTGTCCTTCCACCATTCCAAAATATTAAAGAAGCCGTCGGGATTCACTTCCTTAATTCTCTGTGACAAATAAATTTCAAGCTCATTTAGTTGTGAAACATCACTAGTACTATAACCTTGGGAACCCCTGAACCCCGCCCAAGCACTAAGTGCTCTTACTCCCGTATTTCTTTTAGATGATTGAGAACTAGAAGAAGAAGGAGTTGGAACATTTGGTCTAGCATGATCTAAT